CGCCCCGCGAGCCCCACCAGTAAGACGTTACGGCCTTACGCCGTCCACGTGTCACGTCGTCACGCCTTCTACGGACACCGGGAGCCCATTCCAATCATTGAAGCCAGTGACATGCATCAGTATACAGTATCACACGTCGAGGGCATACATGAATTACAAGCATCCATCACAAGCATAATTAACACACATCCTCATCTCACGCAAAGAACGTGCATCAGCGACGGGTGTTAATAATATCCAATGATATCTACTGGCCTTCGGCCCACCCCGCCACCGTGGCTGGGTTTTAGGTCAGAGGCCTCTTGGATGCCTGTGGAGATCTCGGAGGCCTCTTGGCAGCCTCTTGGTGGCGGTTTTTGAGTGTCGTGGGGGCCTCTCGGGGGCCTCTGAGGGCATCTGTTGGGCCGCTGGGGGGCCTCCTGGAGCTTCTTGGGGGCCTCTTGGGGGCTTGCTGGCGGTCTCGGACATCATCTTGGAGCGGAGTGCTCGATATGTCAGTTCGTGTTGCCCATCTTGGGGCCCTCTTGGGCCGTCTTGGGGACCTCTTGGGCCGTCTTGGCGCCCTCTTGGGCCGTGTTGGGGCTTTCTTGGCTATCTCTTGGGTCGTCTTAGGGCGACCTTGTGGGCTCCTTGGGCCGTCTTAGAACATTGGAGGCCCAGAAGGGCGAGAACGCTAAAGTCGTTCAAACACCTGAGGCGCATCAATGATTTTTAGATTTTTCCATCAATCGACCTCCAGCGTCCATTAACTCAACACTACGACCTCAATTCTCTAGCATCCAACTCTCCACTGCCAACTCCGTCGATCGACTTCGGCGTCCATCAACTCAGCATTTCAACCTCCAACCTCCAGCATCCGACTCTCAACTTCCACCTCCACCAATCAACCACCACCCTCCACCAGCACAACATTCAGACCTCCAACCTCTCACATTTGACTTCCCACTTCCACCACCAATCGACCTCTAGCTGATCTCTTGGGTGTGTCACAGAGAGCGTATGGGCCTTCGATTGCACGTGGTGATCTGTGTCTTGAGTGGTACCTGAAGGACGTGACACAGAGTTCATGAGAACACCAGTGCTCCCACACCCAGGTGCAGTGGATTTTAGGTCCGAGGAGTTCAACCCGAACGTGTTTTGCTATGAGTTCGAGATCACAGAAAGGTCGATGAAACCCGCGGGTTTCTCCGACAGTCTCACACCACAAGCACTACGATTTCAAGGAGACGACGTGGCTACATCATGAGGAAACGGATGAGTGGGGACTCTTGGGAAATCAGCTCCTGAAGCACGCATTGTCCTGAGTAGACCCCCGACGCGCGCAGCTTCTCATGCGAGGCCATCACCTCACCCGCCTCGCCCTTAAGGGGCCCGGGCGCATGCCCGCACAGGCGTTCCGTTCCGTTCCGTTCTCTTGGGTCCTTGTTGGGTGTTCTTTTGGATCCCTCTTGTAGCGTGTTGGAGGCCTCTCGGGCCGTCTTGAGACCGATGCAGACTGACGCACGAACGCGAATCACGAAGCGCACGGGTTCGGATATCATCGCCGTCGCATGATGCGGCGCTGCGTCATCGTCAAGCTTGATGATTTCCATTGGAACAGCGGCTTTTGGCACAGGGGTGGCGCTGACCCTCTGGGGGGGCTCTTGGGGCCCGCTTGGCCTGGTTTGGGCCCTCCTTCCCGCGGCAGGGGCCAGCGTGAACGCGAAGCAGGCCTCGGGAGCGCCTAAGAGCACCCAGGAGCGCCCGGATCTCCAGGCTGTAGGCCCCTTACAGAGCATGACACTGCTCAGCACCGATACTCTGCGGGCCCTGCGGGCACTCCACTTCTTGCTTAGGGGCACGTCGGCGGAAACACCAAGAGCATGCATACACCAAACACTTGCACCATCAGAACGCATCGAGAGCTGGCATGTGTAAGGGGCACGAAGGGCATACTCCAGTCACAACCGCCAATCTCAATTACCAGTGCCGTGCGCCAGTAGCGTCATGACATCATACAGCGGCAGCAAGGGCAGACAGCAATGTCGTCCATCAAGGACGCACTTCAATAACATGCGTCAGTAATTGGCAGCATGGGCAAGCACTGTTATCAAACATACACGGGAGCATGCAGCAACACGCACGCGTCACGGCTGGACATCCTGAGTGCACACCACTCGCACACATGCTTAACACACACACACACACCAGCTTCACATACTAAGAAAACGCACCAACATCGTAACATTATCGCGACCTGATGCTATACACTAAGCTTTGACAGTATGAATAGACATCAATCACATTCACCAGTTATTTGCAGCAGATAAGGAAGTTGGTAGCAGACGTTGGTGGCACAAAACATAGCATACAACACATACAGGTACCACCTATAGCGCACGCCAGGCACACACACACCAATACCATATACACATGCCACATGTCACGATCACATGTCCATTCTTCTGCCCAAGAGCAGACATCGAAAACATACACACATAGCACACGTTCGCACCGATCTTCAGAAGCCTACGCCAATCACATTAATATGGATACCTCATTCACCAGCAGCATACATCAATAACGCACCTAGCTATAACACGATAGTGAAAACATGCCATGTGCTCACAACATGATACCGTACACGTATTACCCGTGACTTGAGTGTGAGTGTATCCACATCGCAGATTCAATAGCATGTGGCATACCAATAATACGTAACACATGTAGCGCCCATACATAATCCTGTAGCAGACGGGCAGACTTCGAGTCGCACGTGGCAGACGCTGTAGAGTCGCACGTGGCAGGCTTCGAGTCCAGGTGCAGCAGCTTCCTGCTGGGCACCCGAACCAGAGCAGTATGTAACTGAGTTATGGCAGCACGGGCAGCTGGTCATCTGCAGCAGTTGCGCCCAGATGATCAAAGTCAGGCCCAGGAATCGAGTTATGGCAACACAACTTTGCGACTTGTTGTAAGGGCTGCACCTTGCACCTGGATGATCACATCCAACCTGGGAGTGGAATTCTGTCAATACGACAGAAGATCTAGCCAGTTGTGCCCGGATGGTCGGTTTCAGGCCCAGGGAGGGAGTTGTGGTAGCGCCGAAAGTCTGGCCTCGCCCACCGGCCCAGCACCAACTTTGACTAAGCAGTAAGCCCTCCACGACAAGCCTAGTTATAGGTAAACTCTTGTACAGCAGCGGACGGGGAGGGAGACGCCAAAGCCAATGCTCTCGCTGACTGAGGCCCTCACCGATGCCAACTCCGTCCTGGAGAGCATTAAGAGCGACTGCATGCAGGTGGCGGCGGACCACGAGGTGACCGTGGCCGGCCGAAACGCCGAGCTCAAGGCCATTGCGGACGCCAAGAAGATCCTAGAGGATTCGGCGGTGCGTCGAGATTGGGGGATCGAGGTTCCCTCCACCTCCACCTTCCATACCTTTGAGTTCCGCGGAAGGTGCGAAAGAACGTTTCGAAACTCATGGAAAGCTTACAGAAGTCAAGGAAGCCCACACGGATCAGATCGAGAAAGGGGCGAAAAGTTCGGGCGGAAGGTCCTGAAGAATGAGGGGAAGGGTTTGCGAGCTCCAGAGGCCTCCAAGGGGACCTCTGATGAATTCCAGGGAGGGGGGCGCAAAAGGGGTGGGGGGTGATGGTTCATGCTGCGCGCCTTTCTCTTATGTTTGGGCCTCCTGGGGGGCCATCGGGAGAGGTTCAGGGATTGCTTTTCTAAGCAGCTTTTTTCGAGCCCCCCGCCTCTCAAACGCCATCCTTCCTTCTGAAGCCTTCTCGGACAGGGCAGTCTGCCTCTAAGCAAGTTCAGGGGGGGGGGGGCAAAGCACACAGACACAAATAATCGTCGATTCCCCGGAAATATAGGAAAATGTGGGAAGTGGAGGAAAGCACGAAACCCTAGAAAGTATGGACTAATATTGGGAATCCTGGGATTTGTGTCTACTTGATTGTGTGGTCCTGGGCCTTTTCGCAAGAGGCCAACAGCACATGTACACGTCTGCGGCCAGCGTCCGGTGGGCTGCGCCGCACGCGGGCACTCGTGCACGCAGGACCGTGGCTGGCGTACATGGTGTGCGTGCGTCGGCCGTGCGTAAGCGTGACCCCCTGCCGGAGTGACCTTCTGTCGCGCGGCCATCGGGGGGGCGCGCGGGCCGTCCATCCGCGCAGCAGAGGCCGCTCCTGCCTGCCTGGGGGCCACTCTTCGTGGCGTCGCTCGGACGTGCTGCCCCGTGTCCTGGCGAGGGCCACCGAGCAGCGTCCCCCGGATCCTCTCCTGCGCAGAGCAGGCGCGCGACGCCGACAGCTGCACACGGGGGGGCGGACGCCCGAGCGATGGCGAGTCTTGAGTTAGGCCGGATGTGTCCTCGCCTGCTTCCCAAATCTACGTGTGGTCCTCCAGCGTAACTTCGAATGTTTAGTGTTTCGTGTTTCGCATCTACGCCTGCAGCGTGCTGACCTAGCCGAGCGGGCCCCGCGCCCTCTCGGAAGGCCCTCCCCCCCGTCGCCGCGTCCTCCGGGCTCGCCGCGGGCCCTGGCAGGACACCACCTCCGGGGCCGTGGCGCAGAGCTACAGCCTTGTGCAGCTCTCGGCTGGCCGTTCGCGGATGCGGACGTCCGCGGACCTGAAGCAGGCGGAGGTTGTCACCGCGGTGCAGCAGCTGGCCAGGCCTGGTCCACCCCGCCGCCCACCCCCACGCCCTCGTTCGCCTCCTCCTCCTCGGCCTCGTCCACCTCATCCTCCTGAGTGGGCATGCTGTCTCCTCATCCTCGCTTCTCGTCCTCCTCCTCGTGCTGCTGAGCGAGCATGCTGTCTCGGTGCCTCGGCAGGGCGCTACCCTCGCAGGCGCGAGGCCAGTCCCGCTTCGCGGCCTGGGCCAGATATAGTTGTCGGCTCTTCACAGGCGGCACGAACGCGCGCAAGACAGTCGTGCTTCGCGTGACGCGCGGCGTGGCACGCGAAATCAGGTTACAGTGGAGCCCCATGCCAAGAAACACCCTGCTTGCCTCCAGAATGCTTGGGTTTCGATGGTTTTGCGATGGAGATCGTGACGCTCCCACACCAGAAATCCATGGACGCCCTGGGGTCTCAGGGTTGGGTTTCTTGTGGAAGATTTCTTGTGGACGGGCCCCCACTGTACCTAGCAAGCCGGGTGGTTGTTTGATTTTCTGATGCTACGCAATGGTGGTCCACGTCGTGGCACCATACAGCAGGTGCCCCGATCTGTGCCCCGTGCCACATGGAGCTCTCGTGGTCCCGCGACGCATGGCACGGACGATGCATTTGTCGACCAATAGTTTGGCTCGCCAGCGTCAATCAACCATGACGTGCGTTGCGGCGTAAGATCTGCAGTGTGCCCTTCACCCCGCTAGCCGCCGAGTCAGAAGCTGATCTTGCTGGCCGTGATCGGGACACTGCCCAAGCAAGTCGGCTATGACTTCAGCTCGAAGTGCTTTTTGGTGGTCCTAACAGGGTGGTGGAGAGGAGGCGAGCTGGAGGCTGTGAGAAGAGACGTGTGCGACGGGAAGCGGGCGAGGTGGGGTGGGTGAGGAAGATGAGGAGGTCTCAGCGGCCTTGGGCCGTGAGACCCTCCAGAGGCAGCCATTCACTGTCTGCAGGAGGTGCGGAGCCTATGCCAGGCGGCAAGGGAGGCTCTTCGGTTCTCCTTGTCTCGGCGACCTCCCCGCCCCCGACTGTTGTGTCACCCCCACTGAGCGTGCTCGCGCCAACCGCCGAGACCGCCTCGTGACGAGGCTCCACCCTGAGACAGGGCTTCCCATAGATTGTGGTCGGGGCCAGGCCACTTGAGGCTCTGGGGCCCCTTTTCAGGCATGGCCTGCCCTTGTCTTACGGTCTGGGGATCGCGTGCTGTGCTCTCTGGCCCCTTCGACCTCGAGAGCCTCTTGGCCTTAGTGGCCGCCTTGGGCTGGGCTGTGTTCGTTTCACCCGTGATTCGGACGCTGTCCCCTCGGTATGCCGACACACACATACGGTAGGTTCGCGTCGTGTCGACCGGCGGCGACCCCAGCGCGGGCGTTCAAGGTTGAACGCCGGCGGCGGCCCAGAATCGATCGATGTTGAACGATTGGACGTTGCGGAGACGGCCGATCGTTCAAGGTTGAACGATCCCCTGCGGTGTCAAAAACCAACGCCGGGGTCGGCACGACGCGAACCTGCCGTACACACATACACACATATACACGTACACATGCACATACACACATACACATACACATACACATACACATACACATACACATACACATACACATACACATACACATACACATACACATACACATACACATACACATACACATACACATACACATACACATACACACATGCATACAAAACCACATACACATACACATACACATCCACATACACACATAGACATACACATACACATCCACATTTCACATGCACATCCACATCATCATACACACACACACCCACATCCACATCCTCGTCCACATCCACATCCACATCCACATCCACACATACATGCACATGCACATACACACGCACATGCACATACACATACGCATACACATGCACACACACATACGTGTACACATACACATACACGTACACGTACACGTACACGTACACGTACACATACACATACGCATACACATGCATCTACACCCACACCTACACCTACACCTGCCCATACACATACACATATACACATATACACATATACACATATACACATATACACATATACACATATACACATACACATACACATACACATACACATACACATACACATACACATGCATATACACATACACATACACATACACATACACCACCCACGCACACGCACACACACACACACACACGCACACACTTTTCGTCAGCGGCGAGGCGGCGAACTGCGCTCCAGCGAGAAGCTTGACAGGTATACAAACTAGCGAATTTGCCGGCGGGCGGGGGGGGGACGGCCGAGAGAAAGAAGGGACGCACAGACGTCGAAGAGTTCGACGATGAGCAGCCGGAGGGGGGCAGCAGCAGCCAGGCGCGCAGTGCCAGAGCGCGGTGGGCGGCCGTGGCGAACCACGGTGGCAAGGGTGGCGGGAGGGCGGCTGCCAGCAGCTGGAGCTGGCGAGCGGGCGCAATGGGACACCATGAGCGGCAGAGGTACCGCGGCGCGCCGAGGAGTAGGCACAGCACTGAGCCGCGCGGGGGCGGGAGCAACGCAGCCAGATGCCTGGCAGTGGCAGGGTTACTGCGGCGTGACCGCCCAGGGGCGGGCCAGGTGGCCAGGGGGCCGGGAGGGGTGGGGCAGGAGGCGGCGGGCGAAGCGTCCCAGGCGCCCGCAAGCGGCGGGGCGGAACAGCAACGCAACGGGAGGAGGAAACGCGGGGCTGCCAGAAAGAGGTGGCAACACAGCCAGATGGGTGGCAGTGACCGGCGCATGGCGGCGTGACCGCCCAAGGACGCTCCAGGTGGCCAGAGGGCAGAGAGGGGTGGGGCAGGTGGCGGCGGGCGAAGTGT